CCCCGCAAGACCGACACCGAAATCGCTCCAGGAGGGTTGGACAACAACCCCGTCTGGCTATTCCAACTAGCCTCTGAGGAAGCCGTAGGCGTCGCGGAGTGGAAAGATCGAGCATGGTAGCTCCGATGACGGTACCCATCAACCGGAGCAGAAGTCGAAGTAGGAGAGAATTTAGAAACCACAGTAGGAGACACTGGATGCGTAACTCCACACGCCCAAGAGGACTTGGATCTAGATTCCGAATCCTGGTCAGAATCTCGAACCTCACATAGATGATCCTCGGAAATCGAAGTCGAGTCGAGGCTCGTCACGGGAGAAACTTTGTTGATACAATTGGAGGAAACTTCATTGAAATACTTCTTGGCGTCAAAAATACTGAGCTCAGAAGAATCATCAAGAACAGTGCAACGAGCAAGAAAATGGTGGTGGTGGTGATGATCAGAGGGAGGAATGAAGTAATTATTGTTGTTGTTGCAGCCGATGACTGTTTTCTGAGATAAGCCTCCATTAATAAAGCTCATCTTAGAAGTTGCTCTAATTCTTTCCATCAAACCTGAGAGAAAGCAACCTCAACCATTACAAATATTTATAAATACATATATTGGTATGGTATGGGGCAATTATATGAGATAGAGAGAGAGAAGAAGATGACGTAAGGGAGGGTTAAAACTTAGGGCTTTTTTTCATCTAAATTTTGCTACTTAGGGCTTTATTAATTGTGGGACATTTTTCAAGATTCCATTCACTTTAACATTCACAAACTCCAAATCTTTTAAAAGATTTTTTTACATAAAACACCCATTAACAACATTCTCTCTTCCCACGTACCACGTACTATAATGCAACTAGGAGTTACGAACGCTATCATGTCAGATAGCTAGTAGCATGAACATATACATTACTTTGAACAAGATATAAAATAATCGGGATCGAATGAGAAAAGCACCTTCATGCCAGCTCAAACAATCTTCCGTATACTCTACATCTAAGGATACGGCCTCTTTACTAAGGTGAAATTCATGCCAACTCTCTATTCTCTTCCCATGTTATTATATACTTGAAGGATCCTAATATTGTTTTGAAGTGCCTTGGATTGTATTATTGAATTTTGGGTTGGTTCATTACTGATTTTATCACCTATACAGGAGACTTAGTGATGTGTGCTCGATTGAATATGCAGTATGGAAACGACAAAATTCTTTGGGGGACTATACATCCCTGGTAAAGTATTGCTAGTAAGCGTTCGTTATTCTAACTTCCGTGACTTGATTTAAACAAAATGTGATGTTCAAACTCATGGTGGTCACTTACTTTAGTAATTTCTATATATTTTTCAATATTAAATATTATAGAGTCAGACAGTTACTCTATGAGATTAGTCAAGGGGTGCGCAAATTAGTCTGGRCACTCATGCAATTAAAAAAAATGATTTTTTGTTAATAGCTCGCTAATTTTAAACGAAGTAAATTATGCAGCAGTGACCTACTGAACCCCACTTTCCTTATTTTTCATTTATGATGTGTGATGGGTTGTAGATGTCATCTCGAAGTTAAATTAAAGAAATATATGTATTGCATTGTCGAATTTTATATACCACTAGTTATATCTATACTACAATGTATGTGGGGTTATATATATATATTCTCTACTCATTATTTTTGTTTATTTAAAAAGGAAATTGAACTCTATTATCATTATTATTGATTAAATTTTTAGTCTCTAGTGTTTAAATTTGATTTCAACTTGATTTCTATGATTTTAAAAGTACAGGTGATGAAAAGAAATCGATTAAACCGACAAGCAGAACTAAAGGTATGTTTGTGATTCTGATTTGATTAGAAAAATTCACTACTTCCAAGTTCCAAAATTGAGAAAATTTATTGAGCATAATTACATTTAATTTTCTATGAACCCGTGATAGGAAAAAAATGCAATGAGTTGCTGTTTAGTAAGTGATGAGTGAATAATAAAGGGGTTGGATTTAGTGAATTTGAATTAAAAATGATTCTTTCAAAAAAAAAAAATTTACCCATGAGTAAAAAAATATATAAAGAATCATTTATTCTAGTAGATGAAAATTACCAAGAGATTAGAATATTTAAAAGAACATGAAGAGGATTATGGGTAAAAGCAATCACATTGTAGGGGTAAAGAAAACAAGTAAAATGAGGTTTTGGCTTGAGTAAAAAAAAGATGAAAGATTGAACTTCGGAAGAAAGAATAAGGTGTTTTAACTGAACTATATATTCTCATATTTGACGTGAGGCTTTTTTTTTTATGGCTATAAAAAATAAAGATCAATTTGCAATTTTATCTTAGTGGTGTTTGCAAAATGAAAGTTGATTTTATCTTCAAGAATACTTTATCCTAGTCAAATTAATTTTCATTGATTGTCTCGAGTTATATTTATAGAAGAGGAAGCAGGTAGGAAAGTTTGTTGGAAAATACCTACCTCCTTACTCGCAAATCTTTTGTTAGATGGATAATTTAAAAAAACGAGACAGAGAATAATTTAATAATTTTATCTTACTCGCAAATTATCCATCTAACTGGTTAACACTTGACACTTGAGTTATATTTATAGAAGAGGAAGAGGATCTATCTAATCTTTACCAATATTAAATGTTCGATAAATGAGATAGAGAATGTAAAAATTTGATATTTAAAAAAACTAATGAACTGTTAATTGTCAATTTTTTAATGGTAGTCAGGATGAAAATAAGTCCTCACCAATAAGACAGCAAGTATTTTCGGGTACTATCCAAACGGCTATAGTCTCGGAAATACCCATTTTGTGGGGCAGAAAATTTTGCTTTTGTCTTCGTTTTCAAAGTGACTCCTTAACCAGTTTCACCTAGCCAAATACTTACCCAAAAAAAAAACATTAATATCCCATTTTAAATTACTAGTTTTTATCCTAAATGTATGTACTTATATAACATGATTCTCGATATCTCCCTCGTCAATAATTGATCAAAACTATATTAGCCGGAGAGAGGAAAAATAAAAGCCAAGCAACGTTAGGAAATAGCATGTCCAATTTATTAATGTCATATATAACTCAACTAATTAAAACACCAATAACTTTTCTAAAATTTAAAAGTTGAATCTCATTCCGCTCAATTGTACTAAAAGAAATAGTCGATTCATATAAGAATCCAAAATCATGAACAACCAAAAAAGTGTTCAAATCACCCAATATATTGTAATGGGTGTTGAACAAAAAGACAATGTAAAATAAGCATCAAGTTATGATGCTTGCTAATCCAAATTGGCTAATTTGTTGATGCTCCCCCTCAACATCTTTAKTCAAAATGACATATTGAAAGGATTAGTGATTGATGCCTCTAGAAGAAAGAGTTGTCCATCTGCTTAATGAAAATGATTATTGTGAGCTTGGACAATACCTTGGTGACCAATAGGGGCATCAGTATCCGAGTCAGTTTGCGCGCATCTCCACTAATCTCACGGAACAACTGCCCAACCTTGCTACATTTGATTGTCAATGAAATACATAAGAGACTAATTCTTAGGTGGGTGACTCACCTCGATTTTGAAACCATTTTCTCTAATTTTTTCTTTTATTTACCTCGGTCTTTTTCGGTTCAAAGAGTCAATCCATGATGGTTGAACCTATCTTATCTTTAACTCTAGGTTTGATATTTCACCATACGAGTGTGCTTCTCTTTGTAAAATTTTATCCTTTTTTTTTTTTTTGAAAATTTTCTAGCTCTGCCACCGGTTATTAATGGAGTTGGTATAAGTTATGATGTTTGTTTGATAACATTTTCTTTTTCGTTTCCTCATTCGTAATCTTTAGTTTTTGAAAAATGAAAATGAGAACAATGTTTGGCAATTTTCTTACTTAATGTTCTTACATTTTTTTATTTGAAAAAAGAAATCCAAATCTATTTGACAACTATTTCTAATTCTCTCCTTTCAAATTACATATTAAGGAGAAATCTTTGCTCATTAACCTTTACCTTCACGTGGCCCTATAATAAGAAGTTCCCGCTCTGATACCATCTTAAGAATGAACAAACCATCACTCAATCCAAAAACTTTAAGTTGATGGGTTGGGTAAATTTAATTCATTTATATGGATTCTAATAAGATGAGAGAAAAAAAAAGAAGTGAGAAGTGGTAGGAAAAGAGAAAAAAGAGGAAGAATAGTTCAACTAATTTTTTAAAAAAAAAAATTAAAGAGATTTGGGAAGATTTTGATGAGATTGTGGATTTTAATGAAATAATTAAAAAAAAATAGTCAATCCTTGTTTTCTGATCGTGAAAGTAAGAAGCACAATGCTCCTCACCGTTTAAGGAACGAAGTTATAATGAAGCTTTTTACTTGAAAATAATATATTTGCTAAGAGTAACGTACTCATAATTATTTTTATCCAAATAGACAATCAACAAACTAATTATAGACATGTTACATAAAAATATATATCTAATATTGAAAAATTGGAGATTTGGAAATTAAAACTTTTTTAAGATACTAAATAGACATGATGTTCAAAAATATAGAGACTAAGAAGAGGAGAAGAAGAAACTACTATACCATATAACGGTATGAGTTCAATTCTTATTTCAAATTTAACTCTTGAAGTTTTAAATGTGTCTTACAAGTTCCTAAATTTTAATCAATGTCTCTAATAAATCTTTAAACTATCAATTTTGTATCTAACATGTCTCTAAACTTTAAGTGATGTCTAATAGGCTTCGACTACTATACCATATAACGGTATGTGTTATACTGATTTTATTTCAAGTTTAATTATATTCTTGAACTTTCAAGTGTGTTTTACAAGTTTTTAAACTTTAATAAGTGTCTCTAATAAATCTTTAAACTATCAATTTTGTGTCTAATATGTCTCTTAACTCTAAGTGTCTAATAAGCCTCCAAATTTTCAATTTTGTGTCTATTAGGTATCTCACCCTTCGACATTTTAAAAAATTAACAAATCTATAAGACATGAATTAATTTAATTTTGTGTCTAATCTAGAATGCTAAATTTTCAATTTTGTATCTAATAAGTTTGTGAATGTTTTTAAATGTCAAATAGTTCAAAGACTTGAGACCAATTAGAGACAAAATTGAAAGTTTAGAAATATGTTAGACATAAAATTAAAAGTTCAGGAATATATTATATTCTCTTGTACGTTTTTTAAAGTTTAGAAATCATTCATACACTAACATGAAAGTTTAAAGTAATAAACTTATAATTTAACCCAAATTAAAAGGTCATTAAGAACTAAATGATACATTAGCTCAACAAAGCACTATACACATTTTATATAAAATTAAAGCTATCTAGATGTTCATGATTTTATTAGTCAAATCAGACCTCACTGTACCTGAATTTTTTCTTTTTTTTTGAGGTTGATCTCATATTAGGTACAAAGTTTCTGTCACGGCAAGTTGTGTGGGAAAGAATTGATTTTGGTCTTTCCCAAAGTTGAAAAAAGAAGAAATATTTTCAAATTGAAAAGGACTTAATTTGAACTTTCAGAGAGTTGGATGATGTGACCTAATGCACTCACCCTCAAAGCAATCAATTTTTGA